GTTTCATAATGCAACTAACTGTTAGAAGATAGTTCCGAATGCAGACAACAGATGATCCATAACAATATAAATTCTTGATGCAAGCATTCAGTGGTTTCAATAAAACGACCCCGCTATAAGCCGCGATCGAAAGCAGACTAATAGCAAAATCACAAACATTCCCAACTTGATTAAATTAAATTTAAAGGTAACACGTTTAAACGAAACTTGATAAGGATAAAAGCAACTCACTGTGCTTATCGCCTTCTTCCATGGGACGTTTTTCATATTTTACCTGAAACTCAATGGGCGCATAGCCATTGCTGAGCTTCTCACTTGAAATATAGTTTACACTAGAAATGGCAAAAGGGCGAATATTCGATTCATCAAATGGGCCGTTTATTTCGACAAGAACTTTGGAAAATGAAGCTTTCAACTGGGAAGCAAAATTAATATCCTGAGACAATATAAATCAATAACTATACCTTTGGAAGGATATTTTCATAAAGTATAATATCAGCTCCAGCTTGGGAAGCAGACTTAGCTTCAGCAATGTCATTACATTGGACCTGAACTCTGACAGAAGAATCCACCTTGTCACGCACAGATTCGATAGCCTAAAGAATAGGTACAAGACAAGCACTAACTTTTTTTACAGAACCCGAGGCAAGGACGTGAGGCTGCCTTAGAATAACACTCGAAACGGTTTTGCAGCTAGCCACGCCAACAACCATAAGAGCATATTCTTCAACAAGACTGAACCCAGGAGTTAACTTTCGGGGGCCAAGAAGATCACCTTTCCAAGAGGTTTCGCCTAAGATCTTCTTCAATCTAAGAATAAATAATATGGGGAAGCGATTGACTTACTTTTGACCGAGGGTAGCAATGCCAGATGCTCGAGACAAAATAATAGAGGCCAAACGCTCCCCATGGATTAGCTCGTCAGCGGGACCAGATACGACAGCAACGGGGGTAGGTGCATTATGAATAAAGGAGCCTTCTTCCTTCTTCCAAGTTACAGTACAGTTTAAATCTTGAAAGAGTTCATCCACAAAGGGTACACCGGCAAGAACGCCTGCAGAATAATAAAAAGTGGGACATTACCTGGATCATTCATATAGATCGTTGCCTGTCGGTGTTCTGCATCAAGAGTGCAGCTTATGTAATTAAATTGTGATTCAGTCGAAATCCAAGTGGATAGAAGAGAGCGAACAGCCTGCTTACTAAGGATTTTAGCGTAAGACATCTAGAGGACGAAGAGGGAAAGGAGACAATGGCGGGAGGAGAGAAACAAGAAGATATGGTAGAACCGTAAAATTAAAATATTATGAATCATTAAACAAACTCATAGAAATATTTTTTTTGAAAAAAAAATTATGCACCGATAGTACATCAATTCTATTGCAATATATGTATACTTTATTTTAAATGTCAAAATCACAATTACATCTTTTTAATAAT